AGGTCCTTTCTAGGTGCTGATCCACCATCTGGTCTGAATACATAAAAACATCCACAGATATGCTGCTGTGAGCATGTAGGAAATACTGCTGCTGCACATAGGGCATATATGAAATAGTCCCTGTGTATAACTTACATGAAATTACCCTGTAGCAGATCTATACAGGTGGAGCTGGGGAAGGTGGAGGATTTCTGAAACGCGCTGCAACTGCTACAGCAAGGAGTAGCCAAGTATTTGAATGTTGAGCAGCAAGCTCATTGGCTGCTGATGTGAAAAGAAAGCGTCACCATATGAATGATGATGTAATTAAATCAGATTGAGATAGAACTTGTCGGCTTGCACCATCTAGAGTTTCATGACAGAACTTGGTATTTATTTCAAACCTATGTTGCTAGTGCCAAACTCAGCTTTAACATGATGGATCCAAACTCTGATACATATGATAAATTAGTTATTAAATGTGCAGTAATACACTTTGCCTTTTGTGTTGCCGCATTTTATTGCTCATTGAACAATTTTAGACAATTTTTATCTTAATTTTTGTCACCTAAGAGATGGAAAGGTAGTGGTAGAGGTAAAAAGGACATCATTAAAATAGTCCATGTGACATCAGTGGTTCAAACGTAAAGTTATGAAGCTACAAGAATACTTTTTATGTGCAAAGAAAACAAAAATAACAACTTAATTCAACAATTTCTTCTCTTCCATGTCAGTCTTCGACACTCGTTCATGAGAGTACCACAATGCATCAGTGTGGTGCTGCTGACACAGGAGCCGGTGTTCTATTTTCTTTTCTATTTTCTTTGCTCACAAAAAGTATTCTCGTAGCTTCATAACATTATGGATGAACCATTGATGTCACATGGACTATTTTAATGATGTCCTTACTACCTTTCTGGGCCTTAAACGTGTTAGTTGCATTGCTGTCTATGCATCATATCAAAAATATTTGACCATACTTATACTTTGACTTTTTTTTTTTATTCCTGTCTGATTAGAGCAGTTGGTGTTTAAATGTGGCCTTTCACATAGTTCCTGTCTGGGATTCACAATTCTACCCGTTCACCGATTCCTATCCATGTGAGTTTGTGTGTGGCAAAGCAGTGTCCCAAACGGGTGGTTTAGCATTCCTCTCTTGGCCGTAGTTTTCTCGCCTCTTCCTTCCTCCACATACAAGAGTGCAAGGGAGTAAATGAGTGAGTAGCAACAGCTTTTGGATTAATTGTCATTTCATTATCTCAAGGAGAGCTCAGCCGTGACCAAACTCACGCAGAGCAATTTAGCACTTCGCCAGTCCTGCTGCCGCCCACCCTGAGGGGAGGAGGGAAGCGCCTGGCTTAGGGCGCTACCCTGTTTCTTTTCGAACATCTCCCATAAACCCACACTGCTGAACATTACACACACAAGTCAATTAAAAATAGCAAGTCATTTTCTTTCCATGGACCAAAATGTCAGTTACCTGAACACAGGAAATAGATGGAATCTATAATCCATCAAGCCAAAAGCAATTCCTCTCCACCCATGGAAGGTCTGTAAGTGACAAGAATGATGTTGTATCAGCCCCATCAGAGTTCAATGTAGCATGATGGAACATGATTGTTCATTACCATGCTGCTGCTCCAAACTCTAAACTCAAATGAACAGACACTGAAGAGAGTTCACACCATAATACACAGACTCCAGACTTCATTTACCATTACTCATTTTCTCACTCTCTCCATTACAAGCCCTTTTTTTTATTTATTTTTTTGATGTGGAAAATTGCTTTACTGGGCACTCTTAACTAAGTGAACCTTAGATAAGTTTATTCAATTCAGAGGAAAGGTCAGTGTTTTACAATTATGTCCCTTTTCTTGTAAGTAGAAATACTGCATTCATAATTGGACAAAGTTTATAATTGACTAACGTACATTTAAACACAATATTTGTTGTGCGAATATTTCTGAGACACAGGAGAGCCTTTGTGTGTCTCTGAGGTAGACATAGCAGTGGTGTTTCATTCCTGAATTAATCATTTTTTTTCGTATTCTTGTACAAATCATTTGAACAAAAGCTTCAATGACGCAAATACAGTCGATTGTTTTGTTACTGATAGAATGAGCAATTTTGAATGACTCAGAATGAATCAATGACTGACTCATAAAGACTACATATACTATATGTCACTATACTCATATAAATAAACATTATCGTTAAAAGTTTCATTAATTAATTTATTATTATATTTTTATTGATTTATTTTTTTTAATAGAAGACTCTTATTCTCACCAAAGCTGCATTTATTTAATCCAAGAACTGCAATATTTTAAAATATTATTAACATTTAAAATAACGAATTTCTATTTTAATATAATTTAAAATGTAATTTACTCCTGCGATGACAAAGCTAAATTCTCAGCAGCCATTACTCCAGAGTCCAGTCTTCAGTGTTGCATGATCCTTCAGAAATCATTTCAATATGCTGATTTGGTGCTCAAAAAAACATTCATTATTATCAATTTTAAAAACAGTTGTGTTGCCTAATATTTTTTAGAAACCATGATACATGTTTTTCAGGATTCTTTGATTAATTTGAAATGTATATTTATTTATTTTTTTGTAACAGTGTGAAAGTCTTTACAGTCACTTTTGATAGTATAAAAGGATGTGTATAAAAATTAAGTGTCTTTTTAAAGTGTGAGAAAACATATGATTAGTAAATAGCGTGCTATAGCGTGCATGATTAAAAAAAAGAAAAAGAAAATAAAAACTCCTAGACAATAATACAGGCAAACATATGTGTACTAGAAGGGACACAGTAATCTAGTAAAAACCAATAGTTTAACCACTGTTGTGCAACAAATGTATTCGCATTTTTCACAGATTATTGCTTACGCATTACTCATATCTGGTGTGTGGAAAATGTCTTTGTGTGAGTGTGTGCACATGTGGACTGTGTTAGGCTGTATTTATGTCACTTGGATGATCTTGTGGCCTGTAGAGTGTGACAGTGAGCGGGGTGTTGGATTATTATTTGCTATCTGCTTCTACGAAAGCCACATGCTGTCCTGATTGCACTGAATCCATGCAGACCAGACGGCTTATTTGTGTGCCCAGAGCAGATTCACTGCTTCAACATACCCTCCATAACCCTCCCTCCCACACACTCACGCACACACACACACACACACACACACACACACACAAAAACATAAGAGAGCCAAAGCGTGATCTAAGGGGGCCGAATGAAATTTAATTTATTAGTATCACTGCTGCTGTTGTGGATACTTAGGGTTGGGGACTTGATGATACCTTAAATCATGCAGTTTGTTGAGGAGAGGAGTGCTGTTGCTTTTCTGAGTGCTCAGACTTTTGATTTTTGCCTAGTAGACGATAAAATGGGCAAAAAATTCATTGACTTATAGTGAATATATAGTCATATTTGGAGACCACTATACCCTGTATTGACTTGGCAACAACCAAGATCCTCTGCAGTGAATGGGTGCCATCAGAATGAGAGTTCAAACAGCTGATAAAAACATCACAATAATCAATAAGTAATCCACATAACTCCAGTCCATTTATTAACGTATTGCAAAGTGAAAAGCTGCGTGTTTGAAAAATCAAATCCATCATTAATGCATTTTAACTCTAAACTGTCGCTTCTGGACAAAATATGAGTCCATAATTCATAGTAACTCTTCCCCCATTGAAAAAGTCCATCCCGTGTTGTAATTTTACATCAAAATCCACCAACATATACGTATTTGTCTAGAACTGTTCTGGACTGTTTTCACTTGTAAACAGTGCTTTATTTGTGCATATTTCTCCCCTGATTCAGACGAGATGGATTTTTCACTTGAGAAAGCAATATTATAGACAGAGGACCGAAGTTAAAAAGATCTTAATTTTTATTTTAAATTTTGCAAATTTTTATTTTTGGGTGAACTATTGCTTTAAAAGCTACTTGGAACACCTTAAAAATCACATAGCAATGCCCTGACAGCCTTTTTTAAAGATGAAGCATCACTCGCATTTTTCTCCGGAATGTGTAAAATGTATTTACATTCAGTATTTGAATTAGCAGTGCATTTTCTACTCTCTTGTTGGGAGGGTTAAAAATTGGTGCAAGAATCAAAAAAGGCCTGTTCTGTAGTTTACTCATTCTTTGCAAGTGTAATTCTCCTGATGTTGAAAGTTTGTCAGGTTTATTTAATGAATGCAGAAAGCAGCTGATCAGTGCTGTGTCATGCTGTGATCAGGCACAGCAATGCAAATCAATCATGCAGTGTAATTTAGGTAATGGTGATGAATGAAGTTTAGCTGGTGGTGATGACTGCCACATAGGCCTGTCTGTAATATTGGAGCTGAAGTGGAATGAATATGTATGTGAATGAGGGGATGTTGTGGAGAGTTTAGCACAGGAGCATTATTCTCCATGAGTTGGAATGTGGCAACTGGCCAACTTGCCAAAGTCGCTGCTGCTAATGCTACCCTATTGTACAGTACTACGATACAGTGATTAAATCATGGAGATACTGTGGTACTTTTAAGGATGTTAACTGATACTGATTGCTGATAAATATTATATAATATAAAATATATTACATAATTGTGATGGTCACAGCAGGCTCTCTGTCTGGTATCCCCTGACAATAATATAATATAAAATAATATATTACAATATAATATGAATGTATTATAACATAATACGACATATTTAATTATATGTATATATAATTAGATATATGCAGATATTAACCTGATAGTTATATAATATAATATAATAAAATAATAATTTTAAAACTTTCATTCTTTAGATTCCTTTAAATAATTAGGGTTAGTTAGGGTGAAAATTCATGTTGACTTTGAAGTTTAAAGTTTTTTTACTACTTACTGGTCCATTTATTATATAATTATTCTTAATGACTTATTAATGAAAGTTGATACAAAATGCTGCCTTTTTAAAATGATCAACAACAAACTTTTCATTAACTGTCCCTGAACAATTATTTTAAAGCAGCTGCTTCAATCTCTGCTTTACAAAAAGTGTAATTCAAACATTTGGCAGTCTAGACACATCGAAATAAAATAATTTGCTCATCCTCTCAGGTTTATGTAGGGTGGCAGAATCAAGGTGCAACTTTAAAACCTTTCTTGTTCATCTGTAACGCTTTCTTCCATGGAGCTTTCACACACTTGTGTACATCAGCCTGAGGCAGAGAAGGACTCGTGTTTGCCAAAGGCTAAACTGCAAAGTGGGGACCTCAATTTCCTGTTTATTTGCTGTGTCTTTTAAACATCATAATCAGGAATACTTGGATTCTGAATTTTTATGTAAATTGTGCGTAAGCCGATTACAAGCCAGGCAGTGGCAGCACAAACATTATTTATTTTATGAACCTTCAATTTTCTGAGCAGATGAGATAAAGGCAGAATAATATTATGTGGGTAATCATCATGCTGCGTTATTATGAAATTATAAAGACGTTTCTCATGTCACACAAGGTAAATGACTCTCTCCCCCTCTCTCTCTCTTAAAACCAATGTCATTCTGTTTCTCGTGAAAATTTGATGTCCACCTATGTGACTCAAATGCGTTAAAGTGAAATTTGCTGCATTGTTCAGGGTTTGTTACAGGAGTTAATTCAGTTGAGTTTCTGGTGCAGAGGTTAGCAGATATGTTCCACCCTTTTTCATGGCTGGAAATCCATTTGTGGTCACATGACAAGTTTGTCCAGCAGAAATATTATGTTGCATATGCCCTCATGTAATAGTCTATTACAAGTGGAAAAATGTGCAGTTTTCCATATGTTAAATCTAATGTGGACTCATACTAATGCAGTAAAAAAAGACCAAGAATTAAATCACCTTTTGAGGTAGTTCTCCCATCCAGCCACTAGGTGACTTGAATAGTAAAGTAGTTCCAACGCTATCTCACGACCAATTCGTATGTATTTTACGAGGTGGCTAACCTCACTTGTACGATTTTGTACAATATGCGACGGGTAGGTTAGGGGCAGGGTTAGGGTTAGGTCAATTCTTACGAACTGGGAAACTCTTAAAATATTTACAATTTAGCAAAAGCCGTATTAATTTATACCCCTTAAAATATGTATGAAATGCCATGAGATCGGGTTGGTAGTTCTGATAAAGCTCATAACAATTAAAGGGATAGTTCACCCAAAAATACTGTTACAATTTAATCACACATGAACGACTTTCTTTTGTCAGCTTAATCAACAAAAAGCACTCATGTCATGTCAAGGCAAAATTAGACTGTTTCTAATTTAGTAAAGCATATACATTTTTTGAGACTACCTCAATTTTATTTTATTTTATTTTATTTTTTTTAAGAAATTAAAACATATTTACCAAGGACGCAATAAATTGGTCACAAGTGACAGTAAAGACATTGTTATAAAATATTTCTATTTCAAATAAACGCTGTTTTAAATAAAATTTTAAATAAAATGTTTGCAAATAAACGCGAGAGCATTCTGACGAGCTGCATCACTGTGTGGTATGGTGCCTGCAACGCATCCTGCCGCAAGACTTTTCCTTTCTTAAAATTATACTGAAAAGAAAAGTATCATGGTTTCATCAAAAATTATATCAGCACAACTGCTTTAAATATCGATAACAATAAGAAATGTTTCTTAAGCACCAAATCAGCATGTTAAAATGATTTCTGAAGGATCATGTGAAACTGAAGACTGGCAAAATGATGCTGAAAATTCAGATTTGCCGACAGACATATAAAATAATTTTAAGATATATTAAAATTAGAAAGTCATTATTTTAAATTGTGATACTATTTCACAATATTACTGTTTTTAATGTGTTTTTGGTGAGCCTTGGTGAGCATGAGACTTTTCAAAAACATTAAAACATTTAAAATTACCTTCCCCAAAATTTTGAGAAGTAGTGTATTGGTATACAATACAATATGGTATAATTTGCATTTCTCTACAATTCAAATCAAAGTCAAAAACTTAAATAACTAAATTAAAGCTTCTAATGAAATCATCAATGCATATTCATACAGTACTTTAATCATTTATAGGACTACCCTTTGAAAAACTTTTTCAATATCAAGGTGCTTTAGTTTTAGTGCTTCTACAGCAGCTCGACTAAATTGGGTACATGGAGAGAGAGAAAATTCATTTCCCTTTTCCTTTTCTCTCCTCTCGCCGGCACTTCATTCCATCAGCTTTCTTTTTATCCTTAAGTCATTTTCCCTTTCTCTTTCTCACTCTGTGAACGTCTGCACTCTCCATCTCCACCTCACTTCCCCACCGCAGCATCAAGAAAAATTCAAGCTCCGAAATGGAGCAACAGTTGTATTGTCACCTAAAGCTTTTTTGTTCCCTTTTTACCTGATTTATTTTCCTGTTTTCTCTGAATGACAGAGCATGCCCGGGATAACACAGAGTGAAAATCAGCGCCGAGAGACTGTATGCTGAGTGATAGAGCAAACTGGGGGAGAGAGAGAAAGTTTATAAGGTGCGGTTTTGGAGAAATGTAAAAAAGAAGTGAGGGAATCTGTGGTGACCAGCTGCAAGAGAGGAGATAGCAGAGAGAGGCTTTTAATTCCCAATTCCTACAGAGCCTTTGAAAATTACCAATCTTCTTATCACAGACGCAGGGCTGCTTATGCAAATTGTTGTGGAGTGGAACGTTTAAACGGAAAATTACTCGACAGCAGTTTTTTTATTTTTGCCTCCTTCTCTCCCTCCCTCCCCCCCTCCCCCCACATGCACACTTCCACATAGAATGCCTGTTTCCAGTCTCAGATAAGAAGATGAATTGCTCTTCGCGCTTTGAAGCACGTCAGGATTTAAAGACTCCAGCCTAGCTGTGGTCTACGTCTGCTGCTCTTTCTGGCTTTGGCAAAAAAAAAAAATTTTAAAAAAAATGATGGTGAGTGGGGAAGGGCATTTCAAAACAACATAGAATCTACGCTTCCAAATGTCAGAGCTGCCCGCCAGTCGTAAAAATTTATATTGAAACGCACTCAGCAAGCAAATTCCATTCACTGTTGTTTATTATTCCCACACTTGTTTGTTGCGTTGGTTCTAAACTGGATCTGAATTTCTCAACACGACAAAGCAAAAGATCCGCAGGGGGGTTTTGGTCTTAGACGTTGAAAGTCCAAATGACACTTTCGGCAGTTTTCCAAAATTCTTTTGAAAACAGAGCAGGGCTTCCTCCCACCGCGGAGCCTTATCAGAGGCGAAGAGCGTCAGAGAGCCAGATGGGTTTTGCGGACGCCGTTCAGCCAGAACTCGAGCGCATCTGAGAATGCGGCTCTCTCATGCTTGGCCAACAGCTCTTGACTCTAGGCCCCAATTCAATTCTGTCTGTGAGAAATCATTTTCAAAGCATGTCTCTGTATTGAGAAGAGAGCCTATAGAGGTCAATTGATGGCAGCACCTTCATTTCGTATTGTGGTATTGCGTCGGTGGCGGGAACCTGTTTGGAAAATTATGGTGTAATTTTGTTCTTTTATTCCACGTGGGTCCTTTTGTACCTAGAAGGGCCGTTCGTACTGGATAATGACTGTTGATTTATTGATTTTTAACAGTGGCGGGCAACCGAGAAAGAATTTATTCTATAGATTTTTTTTTTTTGTACAAATCTATTTGACTCACGAGTCTCGCTTTTGTTATTAGTCTATTAAGATTATGCTGCTGGATGCTGTCTGAATGCATTCTCAGTCACTATCGCCCCCTACTCATCAGACACTACTAGCCTAACTTAACTAGTATTTTTGGTATCTTGATAGTAGCTCATTGTTTTTGTTATTTTTGCATAAATCAGTCACCCACATGTTGTTTTAAAACTGTATGTCTTTCGTTCTTCAGTGGAACACAACATAACAGAACATTGATGCTGCTCCACTGAAAGTGAATGGTGACCAGGGGTTGTCAAGCTCCAAAAATCTTCTGAAGTTATATGATAGATTATGATAATTGTCTCCACTGCAGATCACAACACACCAAATTTGAATATATGCATATTCAAATATAGAAATAAGATTTGAGAGCTACAATGAAAAATAATATTTTCAGGCAATCTATGCATGGCTTTAAAAAATCTAGGGCATGTTGTTGTATGGAATACCTTTATAGATTTATTTATTTATTTATCGAGTATGAAAGCCCCTGGTCACCATTCACATCGGAAATGAGCAGCATGAACGGGGGGGGGTTCATGAAACTGACATAACTTTCATTTTGGGTAAACTATCATTATACCTAATCATACAGTAATATCTCCCTTTTTCTTCTTTATTCTGTCTTCCAGAGCCAGCTGAGGAGGAGGAAATGTTATCTGATAATCGCTGGAGTGCTGCTTCTTACTTTGCTTATCATCATTATTGCAGTCTCAGCCAGAAAATGAGAGCAAGACCACAGGTGAGCTACATCTGGTGTGCCCAGCCTGTAATAAAAATAACAACATAAAAAAGAAAGTGAGAAAAAAATACTGTAGGGACAACACAAATCAACAGTAATTATAACATAATTTTTAAGCAAATGTATAAAATATGTGTGTGAAAATTATATTATTATTTATTCCTATCTTAATAATAATTATAGTTTTTCAAATAATTATTATTAAACATTTTGCCAGGTTTTTGAAGAGAAAGTTCTTTATTTGAAACAAAGCTTTTGTAACATTCTATATATATTAAAAAAAAATCTTTCACTTTTGTCTAAATTACTGTGTCATTTCATTTAAATATATAGTACTTGTTAAATGTTTGGAAACATTATGATTTTTTTTTTTTTTATGTTTTAATGAAGTCTCTTATTCTCACCAAATCTACATTTATTTGATTAATTTATTCTGAAGGATCATGATGACGACTGGAGTAATAATGCTGAAAATTCAGCTTTGTATCACAGGAATAAATTACATTTAAAAATACATTACAGTAGACAATAGTTATTTTAAATTGTAATACTATTACTGTTTTTACTGTATATTTCACAAAAATTCAGCCTTGGTGAGCATAAGAGACATATATTTCAAAAACATAAAAAATAACTAATTATTACAAACTTTTGACCGGTAGTGTAGATATATAAAACATGTAAATACATAATTTAATACAATATAGATTTTTTTTTTAAACATTTGCTTCACTTTTATTGATTGATTGGATTGAATTTCGACTAAAGCAGGTCACCAATTGCCCTTTGTTTTAAACTTTCAGACAAAATCATCTGAAAAAAAAGTGTCAAAACAATCTTGCTTACCTAATTGGTTCTTGACATTTGTGTAACCCGAACGGGCGTATCAGGATGCTATTTTTCACCACGAAATGCCAATGCGGTGAAAGCTCTTCAGACTAATATTTCACCCATGGGCAGCCTCTCTGAGGGGAGTGGGATTTTATCAGTTAGATGGATTACCTCCTCATTCATCTCTGAAAGGCCAACTGACAATTACACTCTTCTGTTATTCATTTATCCTCACAATCTACTTTTATTCGTTCATTGACTCATTCATTAGTTCCTTGTTTTTTCTCATTCATCTATCTGTGAGGAGGAAGAGTGTTGGAAACTGGGTGAGGACTGACTCCATTTCCATGAGATGTTTATCTATGTGTTCGATCTCTCGCGGCCTCCCTCGGGGAGATGAGGCTGAGTGACAGCCTGGACTCCCTCTCATATCGATCCGTATCCTCTCCGCTCTCCCGCTTTTCCTCTGGCAACACGCACACACCTCCTTTTAAGTGGCGTGCGTGAAACTGAAAGCAGATAGCATCTTTAATTAAGTAGCTCTTAACTCGCATTTGTGAAATAGAGTGAAACAGGGAACATAAGTTGTTTGAACTTTGGTGCTAAGATCTCATCTTTTACCAAGCGCTTGAGCAAATAAGAACAGTTGAGAGATTTCGTCACTAAAAAAATCACTCAACTCAAACACGCTCTGCTATATGCGCTGTTCACAAATGGAGAACTCTTAAGTACTAATTGATGTAGAGATTTCAATAGTCCATCGCTTCTGTTTTGACCTACAACTGTCTCATTTATGCGGTTATTATGTCTTTTCTAAATGAAATGCTAGATTTTCACTTAATTTCAGAAGAAACTATGATGTTCTGAGTGGTTGCTAGGTGGTTGTTCTCATTTCTGCATAACTTGGGTCCCTTTTTTTATAAGGATAGTTCACCCAAAAATCTCAATAATCATCTGCATGATGTATTAAACCCATTTAAAAATCATAATTAAGCATAATTGTGAATTCACAAACGTTACGATTTAATTAAATAATTATATTGTACCTATGATGGCATGCAGGATTTCCCTTTAAATACGCACTTCCGATCAGTAAGTTAGATGAGCTGCGTTTCAACTGTTTGGTGCGCAGGTGGTTGTCTGTCGCTAGGAGAACAATCTCTGGTAGTCTTTTTTTATTGATTGTTATCCGTTTTGAAGAGTGTTAACGTTTAAATTGTTGGTCATTTGTATAATTAGATCTGTGAAGTATTTAAATTAGTGCTGGTTTATGCGTCGCTGGTCAAAAGCCAGTGACTTACGATCGTGTAAACGGTATGGGATGATGTCAGTGGTGTGTAATCATGTAATTGCTCTTTTAGTGATTTTTAGGTGTCTTAAATTCTCATGTTGGTTATTTTGGGCTGGAGGAGTGTCAGATGCTGAACGAGCAGCATAGCATACTGCACGTGAGTGTTGACGATCTATGGTAGGGCGTTTTATGGTGTAAAACGATGAACCGTATACCTTTGTACACACTAAGCTGACACTCTTTTATACAAGAGTGTTAAAAGAGTCCTCTCTTCTTTAGGAAGTATATGGTGATGATTGTAGCCCTTTAATGTGTGTGATCAGCTAAAGTCTCAAAGGTATTTATTTTAAATTGTATTGTGAGGCTAGTATACCTAGCATTTTAATATTGTTGACTAATAAATTTATAGATAGTGGTTTCTTTTTGAAATTGTAATGTTTGTTTTTCTGTTTATATTGTGTAATTTAAATGAGCTGTCCTGAGTGAGGTTGGACTGCATAACATTGGTTAACAAATTGTTTTGTTTAATGTTTTCTCTTTTTAGAGTTGTTTTGGTCCAGCTCAATTGATCACTGTTTTCCCTGCCTTGAAATTGTATTTTCTTTGTTTCTGTGAATTGTTTATTTTGTTTCCTTTTACTTTTTGGCCCATGACTATTGGTTATCGTTGGTCTGTTTATTTTACATGCCAACGACGCCATTACTGGCAGCTTACTCATTGTAACTATATAGGGAGGAAGTATATTCACCATCATTCACATGTGTGCTGTGGTTTTGTATTTCATGCTTTGAGGTGCTATGTATGAGAATTGACGTTAGTTTTTTTGGGTTTATTGTATTAATCAATTATTTTGGTGTTAATTTCATTTTTATTTTCTTTGAGAGTGATATTATCCTTTGCAGTTATTTGTGTCTCCATCTTGCATGAGTAAACTTAGCCAGCTTGGAAGTGAAACTACTTGATTAATAAAATTGAAACTGCGTCTATAGTAATTCTGTCTTAAGGATATTCTTTTATTTGAATAGCCGTGTGGGAAAACCCCTTATATGACCTGGGATCTCCTACCCAAATAAAATTGGAGTGGCGTAGTCAAGAATATAGGAGTATTTGCTCTCTGTAATACCACATTTGGCGTAGTCGGCAGGATTTCCTTAATGACTTTATTGCTATTTTTTTGTTGTTTTTTATTGTTGTCTGGGCCCTTTTCTTTTGTGTATGTGGGTAGTTTTATTTTTTGTTTTGGAAGGTGGGAAAACAGTGGTCAAGGATTCCAGTGATCAATCAACGTGGTCAAGTCAGAAGATACCAGCGCTATCCATCTAGTTTTTTATTTTTATTTTTATATTTTTTATTAAAGCAAACCACTTTGGAGTGTATTCATTGTTGTTATTATTATTATTATTATTGTTTTTTTTTCCTGTTTTTGTTTTTTTTCCTCCTAGAGGATGGCAGATGAGGATGTGACCGCTCAGCTTAGGGCACTTACTGAATTGGTACAGCAGCTTCAGGTAGAAAATGCTAAACTTAGATCAGAGGTAAGTCAGGGTTCATCCTCTGTTCCTACTGGCGTTCCCCTGGCAGGGCAACAGCAGTCTTTTGCTGCAAGTGTTGGTGCCACAAGTGGTCCTTCGGTGCCCAGTCCCATGGGGACTATAGAACGTTATGTTTATGTACCAAGAGAGCGTAAGTGCCCTAGTTTTTCTGGGAAATTATCCCAAGACTCTGTGACAGTGGAGGATTGTGTCAAAGAGACCCGACGCCATCTGTCTATGCGTCCAATGTCATGTGCTGGGCAGGCTTTGGCCATTTTTGATTTGCTGGATGGTGAAGCTAGGACAGAGGTTAGGTTTCGCCCAGTCTTTGAACGAGATGACCCTGAGAAGATATTTAATATACTTATTAGCGTTTATGGGTGCTCTCAGTCCTATATTAGTCTTCAGAAGCAGTTCTTCCAGTGATGACAACTTGAAGGTGAGTCAATGAGAGAGTATTCTCATGCTCTCATGTCCTTTATGGATGTGATTAAACGTAAAGATCCAGCGTGCTTTGCAAATCCTGACACTGTGCTACGAGATCAGTTTATAGAGTTTGTGAGAGATGGGATGCTTCGCCGTGAATTACGGCGACATGTTCGACTAGATCCTACTCTTAGTTTCCTAGATGCTAGACAGGAAGCCCTGCATTGGGTGGAAGAAGGTGAAAATCCCTGTATGCAGCGACCTCGTGCACAGTCTTGTAGCATCACTAATGTTACCGATCTCTCAGCGCAGTCTAATGCTATCCTAAATAAGCCCTCAGATGAGTTGACTGAAGTCAAAGAAAGTCTTCGTAAACAGCAGGCTCAGCTAGATACTATTCTTAAGCATTTAGAGTCCTCTGTTCCTCAAGCTGTTTCAGGATCTTTCTTGCCACCAGCTCCTGTTCCAAGGGTTGGGATTCATAGCCAACATTATCGCTATCATCCAGATGGTAGACCTATATGCTTGCGTTGTAATCAACCTGGTCATATTGCAAGATTTTGTAAAACTGAATTGGGTACGACGTTGAGGGTAGCTGCAGGGCCTAGGTCTTCTACTCAGTCATTGGAAAACTAGTGCCCCCCGGCAGCACTGCCCATGTGCCGGGTGGGGAACCCTTGGGCAACCCCTCTGTTGATGAGCTTCGACTTCTAGGTAAATGTCCAACAGTAGGGATTACTATTGGTGGGGTAACTGTGGCATGCTTGCTGGACACAGGATCTATGGTGACTACGGTTACCCAGCAATTTTATGAGCAATATTTGCAACCCCAATTCCAGTTTCAGTTGCAACCGTGTCAGTGGCTTAAGCTTAAAGCAGCCAATGGCCTTGATATTCCTTACTTGGGGTATTTAGAGACG